CAGTCCATATATGTCTAATAAAGTGGAAAAAAAAACATAAATAAGTCGCTTCGCCATATAAGTCGCATCTATTGTGCGTCCCCTCCGACAACCCGGAAATATGGGTTGATGTTGTGCAAAAAATCTATTGGCAGCCGCGGGAGCATGCACGGGAGAACTTTAACAAAATTAACACTTGAAAACAATTATTAGTTTACGCGACATTATATTAAACATGTGTCTTAGTTGAACTTTTCTTTAATAAATGCACTTTAATGGTCAGATCAGCTGCATTTCGTCTGGGCGACGCGGCGAAATGCAGCTGATTTGACGTTTGCTCCAGGAGTTCCGGAGCGAGACGAAGGTGGCTCTGTATGGCAAGCCAAGTGTCTCATTAATAACCACTTTTACCTATTAATGCGACACTTGGCTTGCCATATTACTCGAGCGCTCTCTAGCGGCTGAAAATGATAGTGTTCAATATTTTCCATGCCAGAATGAATGAAATCGTCCGGTCACAGCCAAAAATTGGTTTATAAATACGGGGAAAAAACATAAATACGTTGCTTCACTGCACAAGTTGCAGGCATGCTAATTTATGCAAAAAAAAAAACTTTGAGTTATACAGCGAAAATTACGGTATATGTAATAGTTCTTTAAAATGTTGGCATTCACTGTATTTGATCAATTTTGTCTGTCTGTTAGTAAAACTTCTCATGAACCAGTGGACAGATCGAAGCGATTCATCTGAAATGTCCAGAAAGTACTCATTGGATGTATCTACCTGAAACTTAGTGTGATAATAGCAGAGATTCATTCCCATCACGTATGCTGGGCGTTAACTGATTACGTGAGATTTTTGTTTGCCATAGCAGCTTTATTTGTAGAGCACTTTAAACACCCACAGGACCAAAGTGCTGTGCACATAATAAAACAATCATACAGTCCGATAATAAAAGTGATTTAAAGCTTCGCTATAAAAGAAAGAATGCTAGACGTGTCGCTTGTGTTTTTGTGCTCCAGGTTCGGTAAGCACCGTAAGGACGAGCGGCCGGGTGAAAAGATCAATCGTAAAGGCTCGAGCAAGTGGAGGCCAGAGGAGACGCAGGTGTCAGAGGAGGACACGCTGAAGATGAGGCTGGAGCAGGAGAGGTGAGAGCGTTTTCAGCATTTCATCCTCTTAGCTTGTGCTATTTTTTTTTTTTTTTTTATGTTTCTCTTTTCTGGAATACATTTAACACAAAAACATTTTAACAGCATAAAAGCATCTACACCCAATACTAATAATAGTAATAACAATAATGGTTTGTATTGTGTTTTAACGTAATGTGAAGTTAATGAAAAACATCTGAGTGCCAGCCGGGCACGGAGCCATTACTTCAGGGGCAGCAGTTTGTAAATGCCGAGGCCATTACAGTTCTTTCAGCTAATTAATTACCACGTTTCACGTTTAGGGCACGAGTCATTACACCCCGTGTTTTTACAACGTTTCAGGTCGTAAAAATCTAATTTGCGTCCTTTCCTTTCTACCTGCAGTGCAGATAGTCAGATGATAATAATAATAATAATGACAGCGCCTTTTGTTATAATTTAATGTAAATGCCACATCAGATGATTTGGTTGTTATTATGGCTATTATTAAAAGTTCACAATAGTCTTTTCATATGCTAATCTAATCTGTGGCCTTTGTGTTATGCTGTTGAGGTGTGCACATCTTGGACATGTGGAATCATTTCAGGATTACTTTGTGTTTCATAAACTGGGTTTGTGCGTATACCCTTACATCAGAATGTAGGAAATTTCAATTCTATTCAACCTTTATTTATACAGATAAATCACATTGAGCCTCGAAGACGCTTACAAGTGAGATCTGTATGGACAGACAATAATATCGTATTTTTCGGACTATAAGGCGCACTTAAAATCCTTTAATTTTCTCAAAAATCAACAGTGAGCCTTATAATCCAGTGCACCTTATGTATTAATTCTGGTTGTGCTTACTGACCTTGAACCGGTTTTATGTGGTACAACTGAAAAATGTTGAGAGTAGGCCTGTCGCGATAAACAATAAATTAATCGCATGATGGATGAAAATTATCGACCACATTTTCATTTATCGGCTTTATTGTTTCTTCGCGTCTCTTTCTACTGAAGACACTGGATGACAAAAGACTCAACTCCGGTGCTCTTCACTGACCCCTCCCTTTCTCTTTAAAATCTGTTTTAACCGTCCAAAATTGTGTTTTTGGATTATTAAAAGCTAAGCTATGAGCTAAGCTATGAGCTAAGCTAACAGGCCGACCTCGGGAATAAACCTCCATCTTGTCGAGTTCCAAAATTCACGATTGAAACCCGTGCCTTCGTGTAAAAATGTTTTTTTCTCTGCAAAAAGAAGCTGAGAACTTTTTTATTAATTTTTTTTATTTATTAAAAGCTTTGTGTGAAAAACGCTATGCTAAAGAGCTCAAATCACCGAGCGTCCATCATGTCACCATGTTAGCCCATGTCACGTCAAGGGCCCTTCCACCATTTTTTCTTAAAGAGACATGCTGCTCAACTATCCATCCTTTGGTTCAATCAGTCTTATACTGCCATCAGGTGGTCAAAAAAGGTACTACACTCCAAACAAATCAACATTTCTTCTAAAATATAACAATTAATTATTGTTAAATTACAAACAATATTATCGTTTATCGCAATAGTTTCTGAGACAATTAATCGCCCAGCAAATTTTTTAATCGTGACAGGCCTAGTTGAGAGTCATTATGAATGAGTTGAATAAAGTTCGACTTATCTGACTGTTTTGTTTTGCTTAATGTGCTTTATAGTCTGAAAAATACGGTAAATTAAATTTTGGAAGAATTTTTTTATTTTCGGGGGGGGGGGACTCAAAATTTGTTGAACTTTTTCAGGGCATTTTAGAAAAAATATATTGTTTTGTTCATATGCTGTTAAATAGAATGCAGGCCAAAGAGTATTACAAAATATATTTTGTCATGATTCATAACAAACAAGAAAACGAAAGAAAAAAAAATTCCAAGACTATATCCATCTACCATAATTTCTGGACTATTGAGCGCACCTGAATATGAAAAGCACCCACTAACTTTAAAAAGAAAAATAAATTGTACATATATAGGCCACACTTGTCTTTAAGCCACAGGTGTCCACATGAGATATATACACATCCCAGTAACATATGCGTACAGTAATTTTTAAATTTAATTAATTTTTTTCTGAACAGTGCCTGTAACACAACTGGTTAAAAAAATATACAGTAGCCTATCAGGAAAGGTTATTGAACACTATCTTCGTCTTCCTCCTGTGCACTAAAACCACTAAAGTCGTCTTCTTCAGAGTCAGAATTGAACAGCCTCAGAATTACTTCATCACACACATCCTCACTCTCTTTTGTTGTTGTTCTCAACGTCGCTTGCGTCTCGAGGCAAATTCGCCCTTGAGCTCGTGCTGTTCTCTTCATCACGCAGCAGTCCAGCCTTTCAAAACCCATTGGTGATGGAGTTTTTTTTCTACACTGCTCCACGCTGTCAGGATCCACTGGCAGACTTGAGCAAAAGTTGCTCTTTGCACACGGACAGTTTTGGTAAACGATTTCCCGCCACCGATCATCCGAGCCTCCCACTGAGCTCGGAGTGCCACTTTAAATGCAGTATTCACACTTATGTCGAGTGGCTGCAAATACAGGTAGTCTCATTGAGTCACGAGGACCAATTTTCAAGAGGCACGTGTTTTGGGCAGCTATGTGAGCGCCCTGGTGTGACGAGGGTAAATGTTTTGGCATCATGAAACTCGTTTAGCCCATAAAAATCCATAAATTAGCCGCATCATTGTGTAAATCGCATTGTTCAAAGCGTGGGAAAAAGTAGCGGCTTATAGTCCGGAAATTACGGTATCTACCTACCTACCCACGTACCTATTTACCTACATACCTACCTGTGTACTTAAGTTTTCAGTCCAAAAATGTCAGAATCTGTAGATCTCTGGTCCTACTTTCTCTGACAGCAGTTCTTAAGTCAATCCAGTCAATATTTTTGCTCAACCTAAAGCAATCCACAGGCCAAAACCTTCCGTCCATATTTGCTTATTAACTTGCACTGACTCCCGATGACAGTAAGATACCAAAGAGCATTAAGAAGGTGGTGCCTTGTTTCGGTGGTGAAGAACAATCCAGTTTTGTAGTTTTAGTGTTCTGGTCACGGGAGGTTCAGGAGCATGCTCCTGCTCCTTGTTGCTGAACATGTTGATAACGCACGGCCAGAGGCTCTACTTAAACCAGCTTGGATCGACTTGATGGTTGCATTATCCCAGTATATGCGTCTGTAGTCCCCTGAAATAATTCTGTAAGTTTCTAAAAGTCTTTTGAAAAGATGAAACACAAATTCCATCATCCAGGGTTAAACTTAGGTTCAGTCAAGGACAATTGAACTTTTTTGAAGACATCTGTGGAGCTCACTTAAAGATCCAGTCTTCAGTGGATTTGTTCAATCTCCATTTCTTGCACTCCATATCAGAAGAGTTCACAATAACATAGGACGCCAACAACTTGTTGAAAGGTCTTTTTGGAGATTACCGGTACCCAACTTTTTCCAAGCCAGCTGGAAGATGTAGTTTAGTCCCGGTTTGATCTGGAACCTGTGCCAAGTGGTTCTTACCAATAAACTAAAATAAAGCACCCAGGAATTATTATCATCAGTTCCAAGAACATCTGATCTCCAAACAATTTATCTTTGTTTTAAAAACCTCAGCCTTTTGTGTTTAGGGTCTAGTTCAGTCATCACTGGAAGTTCTTGGCTATAAATAAAGTTTTAGGTTTTGAATTGGGTGTTTAACCCTCTTGGATCAAAATGGCCCTCGAGGCTCTTTGTTTTATGTACGAGACCTCGTGGGTTTAAGTTTTTCCAACATTTTGTGATGCTCATAATATTTAAAGAGCAAATAAATTAAAACGTCTAAATCTATATTATGCTATAAATTATCTGCTATTCAAGTATGTTTTAACTTACTGAATCTTAGCAGTATTTGTATCTGGTTACTGAAAACACATTTTGAACCCTAAAGGAGAAACACTGGGCTACAACAAGTTATAAACGCTTATGACATTTCTGCATGAACAAAGGTAAAAAAATAAAATTTAAACATCTTTTTCCCAAAATGCAGTGTGGCAGACAGTGCAGGCTCTTCTGGCCAGAAGTTGAACCAAGATAAATGTTTTTGTTGGACTGCTCAGCCGTTTGTGTCTTCACCATCTGTGAACTAAATGAAACCATTCTTCAGCTCAAGGAATTGTTTTAAGAATCAGTTCCATGTCCAAGTTTAGTCTCTTCTCTGGCAATTTGTAGCATATGAGGTCTTTATTCTTTGGACTTTATTTTATTTATTTATTTTACTCTTCAATTCTACTTATTTTGCACAAGCTCCAAAGCATCATATGACTTCTTGTTTATTTGTGTCTTTACAAGCTTTCTAAAAATGTCCTTGTAAATTGTAATTGTTTACTCGTTCTAACACTTTTCTTGCTTGATCAAAATCTTTCATTATTCTTTTACTCAATACGTTCAACACTGGCTGAACTTTTTGGGTGACTAGCCCTACAAAATATGTCTAAATACACAAGTTATCAATCCAAAAGGACTTTCAACAGACATCTTATCCTGCTAGACCTTTTCCCTTCTTGTACTTCCTGCCTTTCACTCTGGTCTGTCAGTTATGTCAGCCTAACCACTAAGAGGGACCATTTTTTACACACCGAATACAATGGCACATAATGGACCATTGTTCTGGTTTGATGTAGCAGAAAGGTCACTCGTCAAATACATTTCTGTTACCACAATGTCTCATCCTGCCATTTTTGTTCCCTTTTAAATGCTGTCTCTTCCTCTTTTTCCTGCATGTACTCATCTAGTCTCTTTCCCCACCTATTATTGGTATATTTTTTTCATTTTTTATTATTTACCCTCCATGCCAAAAGTATTTTAGTCTGTCATCAAGGTTGACAAAGTAAAACAGAGTTTTCCTTCTGTGTTTTGGCACTTGAAAGATAATGATTAGAGGAAAGGGGGTTTCCATTCTGCTCCATTTCAATCAACGCAAAACTGTATTTGTGAAACATTTTTAGCAACATGGCCTCTTAA